TATCGCTTCTCTTGAACCGTCGTTTCTCGCGGCCGGACAACGGCCGTTCTCCCACCTCGTCGTCGTCGTCGTCGTCGAGTCTCCGAGCGCGTCTCTTACCGTGTACCGCTCGCGATCATTGTGCCCGCCACCGATGCTAACTGTCTATCGCACGCGATCACACAAATGGATCACACAAGGGCTCGCTATCGCCGCGCGCTAACCGGCGATATAGAAGCGAAAGGACGAGACAGGCGAGCAGATACAAGATAAAACTAACGCGGGAGAGGACGGAGAGGAAATTCAGGATACCTCGGAAATAATCCCCTTTGCGTGGCGAGCGTGAAAAGCGAGATATAATTGCGTACGAAGGAGGAGGAGGAAAGCGCGCGGCGCGCACGAGCCTCGTATTAATTGCATCGAATTAAGATAACGAGAAGCATAATCAGAAAGTATCTCTCTCTCTCTCTTTTTCTCTTTCTGTCTTTCTCAGAGAATGCGCCGAGGAGTGGCGCCAAGGATGTACGCGCTTTTTCAATTTGTAAGACACGAGGCGCCAGACACTCGCCGGCCGCCAGACGCGTGCATCGCACTTGAGGAAGCGCCCGAGAGAAGAGATTCGTACAAATTTGCCGCCTCTCCTTCCCCTCGGGTAATGAATTCCATAAGTATAACACGTGTCTCCGATAAAGCGACTGCAACGAGAGGAATCACCAGCGAGAAAGAAAGAAAGGGAGAGAAAGAGAGAGGGGAGGGGGCACGTAGAGGCGTATTCGGAGTGTGTATCCCTCTCTGGTTCTCGCGGCCTCACCGGTCGGACCTGACAAAAGCCGACCTTCGGACTGACATTCACTTCACATATGAGCCTCTTCTGCCCCTCCTGCTCTCCGCGGCCTCTTCCATATACTCCCCCTTCGTCTCCTTTCGACCCAGCGACCGACCGGCGTTTTCCGTCGGGCTCTTGCCCTCTCTCTCTCTCTCTCTCTTTTTCTTTATCCTTCTCGCGCCGGATCCAAGCTGATATTATCCTCTCTCGGTCGCCCTCCTGAGAGAGGACTGGACTCGACCAAGCGAGCACAAAGACCCGTCATTCCGGCCGACTCCGCCGTGTCCTTCCTCCTGCTCTCAACGGCAGCAGCCTTCGCCGCCGCCGAGACGAAGCTCGAGAAGAACCGTCGTGTCGCGTCTCGCGAAGGGAGCGCTCGATCGCTCGCTCGCGGATGAAGTACTTCGGCATGCCACTTGTTAGACAGGAATTGCACGTGTCACGTGTAGAGCTTTCAGCGGGACACTCGTCGATCGACGCGGCGGCCGACCGCTCTCGGTGTCGTGAATCTTTAGCCGATGGATAGAGCGAGACTCGCGGACGAGAAACTCGATTTTGATTTGCCGCGCGGGCGGAGACATGGATTTTTACTTTACATATTCTCGATCCTGGTGCGCTAGGAGAATCCTCTGGTGGAGGAGACTCGTAAGATTCTCGCACACAACGCCTTCTCTCCGCGGCTCACATTATGTGAGGCCTGCTGAAGAGCCAAGCGATACAAGAGGTATCTCTCTCTCTCTTTCTCTCCGTCAACGACAACAAGCGCGGCGGGGAGGATCGCGCGAGGTGCATCGGGTTCCGGGAAGTTCATTGTTGCGCCAATTTCGCTTCAAGTTTTACCGCAATTCAAGAGACTGTGTGCGCGCGCGCCTTTTAGCGGGCTCCGCGTTTCGTGCAGATGGCGTGAACGGGGGAAAGCGGGACTTGGTTCTAACGGTACCGTGACGGGGTGCTTCTCTCTCTCTTTCTCTTTCTTTCTCGTCTTTTTTTTCTTTGTCTCACTTGCATTATATTCGAGGGATTGACAACCAGAGAGGGAAGATCCTTCCCTGTTTACTGTCCCCATTGAACGAATGAAATCATCGGAAAACGAATCTTCCCCCTCTCTCTCTCTCTTCCTTTCTGTCGCAGTCGTCTGTCGGTAACGGGAACGCGCCGAAAGCTAAAGTTAACGGTACGCGTCACGACGCTCTGACGAACATTATTCGTGGAAAACGTCTCATCTGTAAACTCGAGATGTGTGTCACCCAGTATCCCCGGGCTCGGTCGAGGTCTGAGTGGGTGTAGAGGATGCGCCTCCTCTCTCGGTGGGAGAGAAGCGCCGAGATAAAACGGCGAAAGCCGTGTTCTGAAATCTCATACGCGCTCCGAAGAATCCTTGTAATCCTTATTGCATACCTTATGCTTAATCCCTTGAGCGGATAACAGGAGGCTCCGATTACGCCGTAATATCGGCAAGATAATGCCTTAGGCGCTCACGACGTAATTCGCGTTCGATTCTTCCTTGCCGTTAAACCGCCGAGATCCTCGCCGATGATACGGGAATATCGTTAAACGAGAAAACGAAAATAATTTTATGCTCCTCTCTCGTAGTAATTATATTCTTAAAGGGGAGAAATGATTAATTGCAATCAAAATTTCCTTCAAGTTTCATCCGTTGAATGATATATTTCAATTGATGACATAATTAACGTCAAAAGGGAGACACGACGGGGGGGGGGNACTTGGAAGTAGGGAGGAGCGAATCTTCTTCAGAGCGGAATAATTATTTCTCGATTGAGATAGTAAGTTCTTGAAAGTCATTATCGGGCTCGCGACGATGCTCGCACGAGCATTGAGCAAAACTCGGCGAGACACTCGGTATAACAACGTCGCCTCACCTATTTGCAATTACCTGTGCGTGCGATCTACATACAACGCCAGCCCGCGTGTATCGCTTGAGGTTTGCAACGAAATACTGTAGTGACTTTCTTGGTCCTTCCCTCCATCCGTCGTTTCTTCCACGAGCCTATCCTTCTTCACCTCTGCTTCGACAAGCTCTGTCGTTCCGGCATTTTGCGCTCGACACGAAATTCCGCGGTACCAAGGCGATACGCGTTCTTCGCGAAAGCCGTGATCGATACGATCGATCAAAGAACGCGGAGCGTTCACACACAGTCGTGATTTCTTTCTCTTGTTTTTCTTTCTTTTTTTCTGAAGGATTCTTACCTCGGCCGCGGTCGTCTCATGACACATGGAAACACATGGAAGCGTCCCTCGTTGATTTCGTGGCTGTTAGACCGGATCATGTGAAAAAGGAGACAATGCAGGAAATGCGTTTCCTAACGCAAAACCAACGAACAGGTCATTCTGACATCTCGCACGAAACGAGCTTGTAAAGTGTGATAGATACTCCGACATCGACGCGATACATCACCGATGAATACAGTCTCTCAGTGCATCTTAATGCAACGTCCATGTATCGATACGTCGATATGTTACGTTGAAAAGGAAGCGGTCGTATTTTACATTAAATAGTTGACAAGAATATCCTCCACTTAGGATGTTATATTATGCGGCTTCCGTACCTGTATGTACCATGTCACATCCTCGTCAATAGCTTTAAGTCATGTTCTCGTTGCGTATGTTCTTAATATGATTCTTTGATAGATTCTAAGACGAAAGTTGAAGCAAGGAAATGATGAGGCTACAATAATTCTTAAATGAAACGATTCAAGTTGACTAATGGTACGGCTGACATTTTTCGTATTCAGGCACGGCAACATGGAAGGTGTAATGAGGAAATGCCAACATGATGAAAACGAATTTTTTTTTGAAAATTTCTATACGAATATAATTTTCATAAGGAAAATGTTGCCAAAGTAACTTAGAAAGTAACTTCTTTTGTGTTTCACGATCTGGAAATTGTCTTCATATTCTTGCGTCGCAGATGTGAATTTTCACCACATATAATAATACCAGGTGTAGAAGTATGAAACCGGGATTTCCCTATAAATGGTGCTAGCCATCAGTTTAGGGACCGTAAGACCGCTTCTGCAGCGCCATCATCTCCCTCTAATAGCTGACGAAGATTTTCAACGCACAACAACCCAAGTTCCATACACCGGTATATTTTTCTATAACCTTAAACATGTCGAGTTTTGTGGCTACGAACTACGATTTGCGGACAGCATTGGTTTTTTGTTATCATTTGAAGAAAACTGCTGCAGAATCGCATCGAATGCTTGCCGAAGCTTACGATGAAAATGCTCTTGGTAAAGTACAGTGTTTCGAGTGGTTCAAAAAATTCAAAAGTGGTGATTTTGACGTGAGAAACGAAGAGCGCGGGAAACCACCGAAAAAGTTCGCAGACAACGAATTGCAAGCCTTATTGGATGAAGATGATACTCAAACTCAACAAGAACTCGCGGATGAATTGAATGTGACGCAGAAAGCTGTCTCAATTCGTTTGAAAGCCATGGGAAAAATTCAGAAAGTGGGAAAATGGGTTCCGCATGAACTGAATGAAAGACAGCAAGAAAATCGAAAAACCACTTGTGAAATGCTGCTCGACAGATACAAAAGAAAGTCCATTGTATTATGACAGGTGATGAAAAATGGATATATTTTGAGAATCCTAAGCGTCAGAAATCGTGGGTGAATCCAGGCGAACCATCGACATCCACTGCAATCGCTTTGGAAAGAAGACAATGCTCTGTGTTTGGTGGGATCAGAAGAGTGTAATCTATTATGAGCTGCTAAAACCTGGTGAAACCGTTAACACTGATCGCTACCAACAGCAAATAATCGATTTAAATCGAGCATTGCGTGAAAAACGACCGGAATATGGAAAAAGGCAACACAAATTCATTTTGCTCCATGATAATGCCCCATCACACACAGCAAAACTGGTCAGGGAAACGATCGAGGCGTTCAGTTGGGAAATACTAACGCATGCGGCTTATTCTCCAGACTTGGCTCCGTCCGATTATCATCTATTCGCATCAATGGGACACGCTCTCGCTGAATAACGCTTCAATTCGTATGAAAATGTACGAAAATGGCTCGATAGCTGGTTCGCTTCAAAAGAAGAAATGTTTTTTTGGCGTGGCATTCATAAACTGCCGGAGAGGTGGGAAAAATGTATAAATAGCAATGGACATTATTTTGAATAAAATATTTTTTATCATTTTCAAACAACAGACGTGTAATTTTTACAAAAAAATTCCGGTTTCATACTTCTACACCTGGTAGATATTATATTACACATATTATATACACGAAATGAACTTGCAGTACTTTTGTTTAGAAGGTACACGACTTCCCGTATGTACCTCGTATACATAAGTACGAGGTACATATGAGTAAAATACTTTAAATGTGAAAACAGAAGATATCACTGACATGAAGTTGAAATAGTTCAGTGGTAAGAGCGGTTACCGGGCAGACGGAAAACTTGGGTTCGATCCCAGCCGAGCCTTGTCTCGCTTCGAAGAGTTTTTCGTCTCATATGACATTAAAAGTAGATTTCTACAGGTACAAAAAACGTTCGAGCGCGAAGTTCTGATCTTCTTTCCATTGTTCTCTCCAGTATTTCTGCGATACCTGGAAATCGATAAATGTACCTTCGACCATCCCGTATCGCGTTGTAATGTATCTCCTCTCGCAGTGAAGATCCCCTGATTTCGAAGTACTAATGTCCCTTGTAATTATATAGGGTTTATATTTCAACGTGTTATTACACTCTTAACCATGTACCGCCGAAGTTGAAGGTACATGTTGAGGTAAAAACCTTACGAGGGACATTTCGAAGTACGTGCCTCGAATTTGGAGCCATGTATCTCGAAATGTCCCTCGTAGGATTTTTATTTCAACGTGTACCTCCAACTTTGGCGATATATGGTTAAGAGTGTATATTTCAACGTGTGTATCTCCAATTTCTGGCGATACATAGTTAACAGTACACGCCTTCCTAACAAACTTTTGTCCCTTTTGAGTATCGGTTAATTGAATCTTATTTTTCAAAGCCGAGAATTTTCTTATTCGCCGTACACATGTTTATATACAAAAAAAAAAAATATATATATATAAGTAATATAAATAGATTTAAGGAAAATTAAAAAAAAAATCCAAAAAATAAGGATCATTTTGTTGCTGAAAATGCGCCTCGATTTTCACAGTCCTATAAGACTGTCCAGCTATCTAAAAGGATTTAATTATACATTGCAGTGATTCTTCTATTATTTTATGCGGCATTACGTCATTATTATCTTACCCGTCTCAATAGGCAGATATTAAAATCTCAGGGACTTCTCCGCTCCATACGTGTGCCGCGCGCGTCCGCCGCATTACAATTTTAATTTCATCGAGACTTCATCCATTCCTCTCGTTTCGCATTCTTGAATGCCGACCCGCGTAATCCTCCGTCAATCAAATTGATCGCTTGTAGCCGATATTAATTCGTTCGCACAAAAGCATCCCCTTTTCCTCGATAAAAACTGCAAACGGATAGATCGTAATTAATCATACGTAACGTAATTCTCTCACTGTGTAATTGCGAACTTATTTATTTCTGTTCCTTTTCTTTAATCATGATAAGGAAAAGACTGTTGATAGATAATTTAATAGAAAATTAAGATAACATAGTACCGACTGTTTGGAAATTAAGAGAATGAAATAGAGGGAAAGAATTCATCATAATATTAACCTTTTAACTCATAGAGTTAAGGTAAGATAATATCTGCTTCCCAATAATTTGATTCTGCGCGTGTAATACATTATTTCGCTCTGAAACTTACATTCGTAGAGGACGAAAATTTCGTTCGATTTTCTCGAAATCTTTCTTTTCTTCTCCCTTCGTCCATGTAACATCTACCGCGGCAGATAAAAGAATCGATATCAATCTCGTGGTTAGGCACACCTGAATCATGTCGCCAACTCGCCTAAATACCAAACGGAATAACAAACACTAGGTAGGAAGGGAAGGTGAGGGAAAGTCTGAAAAGATCACCCTACGTGATCATAGGGTGATCTTTTCAGATTTTCCCTCATCTTCTTCCCTTCCTACCTAGTGTTTGTCATTTCGTTTGGTATTTTCGATAATCGTTTCTCCGTTTGCCTGTGCCATGACAAAGAAAGGTCCTGTTCAAAAAGAACTGGTCCCAGGCCAGCACTCGTTGGTTCGAAATTTCCGCGTGCTTAGATTTTTATTACGGGACGATACTTTTATTATACCGAGACTGGCGTTCGCCCGTCAGTTCGTTCTCAGCTTCGCTCTCTTCTCGCTGTAGTAAGAATGTCCGGCGGAAAAAGAGAATAAATGAGAAAAACGCGCTTTATGACGTATTATTACATATTATCCTGCAGCCGACGGACGGACGAAAAGTCCTATGAACGCGCTCGAACGACTACGGAAATGACACGGAGAAGCACTCCGGTGCATCGCTAATTAGATACTTTCAAGACTCACTTTCGCGTCTCCGCGCGTTCTTCAAGTTCGAAATAATAATAGAGCCTGATAATAACAATTGCCACGACGACACGATTATCGATATGATGGCGCTTTTTACTCACATCACAGAAATGGTGGAATGACCAATTATGAGTAGTCTTCTACCACTTCTCTGTTAAGTTATCAGAGAGTCGCCTACCTGACCACGTTGCAATTGACCACCACCAATCATGGCCGCTGGTCGTGCTTTGGGGAATTTCTACTGTCGACCATTCGGTATAATCTGTAAATGGATACGTAGCCAATCGGTACTCAGTTTGCACGCACAATATAAAAAATCAAAATGGGAACTATACTAGAATTAAGTCCTAATTAAAGGTTAATTTAGTACTGCATTCCCAATTTTAGAGTTTGAGCAATTATAACCAGAATAAATCATGACCGCATCAATTTCCGGTGAAAACGTGGCGAAAAGCCGTTGTCACAAAGCCGGACTCGACGGTGACAAAGACGATAGCAAGGGCGGCTAGCCCAAATGATATTTTTTAATAATATCGAAAGTATCGATAGTAACAATAGAGGTAGAGCTGAAATTTCCATCGGGAAATTTGAAAACTTGCGAATTTATATTTCTGAAATTTCTGATATTCGCACTTTAGTGTTTGGAGAATATAATGAGTAAAGAGATAATATAAATTTCCAGTGGATAATTTGAAAATTTGTGAATTTTAATTTTTCGAATTTTCGAGTTTCGCATTTTGATATTAGGAGGATATATTAGGTTGGTGCGTATGAAATGTCGCATTCTCTTTACATGCGGACGTTTTCCTCCCTGTTTTCGTTATACTTTTGTATTTGGCATAACCTCATTCATACTCGTATTGTCCATTGCCAGAGACTCATTTCAACAAAATAGGTTTTCTCGAAGGTCTTCCCTTTTTTATTTCTTTTGAGTTTATTACCGATATGAATTCTGCCGACATTCGCGTCATTTTCTTATATGAGTACAAACTTGGTAATAGTGCTGCAAAAGCTGCACGCAACATAAACCAAGCGTTTGGGGAGAATACGGTTAACAATCGGAAAGTGCAGCGTTGGTTCGAAAAATTTCGGACTGGCGATTTTTCACTGCAAAATGAGCCGCGCGGAAGACCCAAAACGTCTGTGAATAATGATGACCTGAAGGCTCTAGTGGAAGCGGATCCAGCCGTATCCACGAGGGAACTTGCTATCAGGATGAAAGTTGACCATACAACGATATTGAGACACCAAATTGTACTCCCATCGCTTGTGAATCGGCATGGCCCGCTACTGCTCCATGACAACGCTCGGCCGCACACATCGCACAAAACAATTGCGAAACTGAACGAACTGGAATATGAAGTTTTGCAGCATCCACCATATTCACCGGATCTCTCGCCGACCGATTTTCATTTTTTCAAGCATTTAGAGCTGTTTTTAAGAGGCAAACACCATGAAAATGAAGACAGTCTAAAAAACTCGATATCAGAGTTTATTAATTCTAAAGACCAAAATTTTTTTAAGACAGGCATCTACGCTTTAAAATCTCGTTGGGAGAAGTGTATTGAAGCGAATGGAGCATACTTTGATTGAATAAACAGCTTTTGAAGAAAGATATACAGTTTTATACAATCACTTAAGAATCCGACATTTCATATGCACCAACCTAATAATAAACGAGTAAGTAGTAAGTAAATAAAAAAACTAGACTATGATTCAATCATTTTTATTCTTATTTATGTTCTTAATACAATATGATACAACTTAAATTAATATATATAATATAAACATTATAATCTAGCATAATTTAATACGTAATATATAACATAATACACAGTTTATCATGTGCGTTAAATGCAATATAGTGTAATATAATATTTTACAATATAATACAATTTTACATAATAATACAAATTTTATATAGAAGTTCTTCCACTTTGCATTGTTATTTCGTGCGGAAGCTGTTCGCGTATTTTCCCGGGATTTTTCAAGTCCTTGTGAACCTCGGAACACTCGATGATTCCCTGCTGCTGATTTTCAAAGTGATTTAATTTTTAACGCGATTTATTCATGAAAAATGATAATCACATAGAGGATATCAAAAGCACCTATTGTTCGCCGACTAAGAGGGTCTACTTGTGTATACAGTGCCGCATTGGAAGCAGGTCAATAATTTCGGCAACATGATATCGGTCATTGCGTGGGGTGAGTTCACACGAACGCATATCTAATTTTGAATAATTACCAAGGCAGAGCTCCGTGCGAAATGCGCGGGACACCGCCCTAGAGCGCAAGAAAGCTCTCAGTTCCACGCTACGCAACTTCGTTGCGCTAGTCAACACTACTGAGAAGTTCTTCGTCGTAACGTAAAGTTTCGTCTACACCAATGTTTCCTCTGTAAATTGAGCTTAATTCCGTTGAAAAGCACAGATAAGTTTGTCGTTATTCTCACGACATTTACTTCTATTCTTTTTTTGTAGACCTGAAGTTCGATTCTAGACACATATATGTAGGTAGATTCTAAACTCCTTTTCTTCAGTGTAGGGTATACGAAATAACAGAACACCGAAGAATGCGCGATCAAATTTCCGTTGAAAACTTACAGACTCTCGTTGCACTCTCGAGTTTTGATTATTAATTTGGCTAACGACGAACACGCGCGTATGTGCGTCAAGAGTTACCTAATGCGAGTGAAAAATTTAGTGTTAAATTTAAAACATTTTACATGCCCACACAAGTTTTCTTGTTAATTTAACAGAAGGTGAATATGTTAAAAGATAACATAAATATTATGTCAAAAATTAACACAGTATTAAAATATCCATACATATATATGTCACTCGACACTGAAATATAAAGCGTGTTATTTTAACACTTACACATACTGAATATCGAGTTAATACAAAATATATTGAAATAACATAAACATAACATGTTAATATACAGGTATGTTAAAAATTTAACACAAAAATTTTAGCAAGGATCAATTTTAACATAGATACAAAATGTTTTTATTGTATATCAGTCATTTAAATCGCCTACTTTATCATTTTTTCTATAAATAGTGAATATAAGCGCGACCTAGCGATGTGTGTGTATATATGTATGTATGTATGTACATATATTTAATTTAAATTAAAAATGAATTACATATATTAATTTTTTAATTTATTTATACATATATAAAGGTAGAAAAACATAATCAGAACTTTTACATTGCATTTTTTCTGTGATATAAATATTTACAAAAATATCTTATATAAATAAATATCTTGATATAATTTCATCTTGGCCAGATCGAACAAGCGATGGCCGAGGAATGGCCGAAATTCCAAAGAAAACAGCTTGCCTCTTTTCTTCGTTGTATTCTTTACTTTTTGTAGTAGATGTTAGATAAATACGGTATAAGTTTCCCTTAGGTAGAAAAAGGCGCGGTAAAAAAAAAAAAAATAGAAAATAGGTCTAGAAACCCAAATATCGAAACTACAAGTCAGGTCAAAATATGACTACGTGGCGCATTAATGTGTGAGAAATGTAAGTTTGCTGGTAAATTACGTTTTTATACAGAAAAATTAGCCGGTTCTCATTTACATGCGTTATACTTTGAGTGACGCGGCTCGCGAGATTATAGTTCATCGATCGAGTGTAACGATATTTATGGAGGGTAGCGTACACCGTGCACACGCTGGATTATTGTATACTCCAAGTCTGATTACGCTGTGAATCTAGTTATAATAACGCTGCGCACTTTAATTGCTGCCGAAATTTTCAGTTGCTCCGAGACGCGAGACTGTAGTTGACACGTGTTATCACGTTTGAAACCGAATCGTTGTGAGCCGCACGAGCGCAAAACGAAATGTAGGAAGGCAGTCTACCGCGAGCCGCACATATTGTTTACATAGATGCCACGTTGGACGTAGTTTACATTGTCTCTATGTACTCGTAGACATGGGTTATTATTATAATTTACACGTGAACGCCCAACCCTGCACGAAACTGACGTTATCGCGCTTCGCGCCACGTGGGTCGCCAATGAGCCATGTTCGTATTTGTGTAATTATATGTCTATATGTGACGTGTGTCATATGATATTAAAAATATTACGTAAGACTTGGAGGATGGCAAAAAATTGTTATCATCAAAATGTAAGAGTGATAAAATACGTTTTAAACTGCAACGAGTATTTTCGCCGATATAGGTTTATCTCTTTGAATATCTGTTCGTGTACATATACATGCTCAAGGTAAGACTTTCGCTCGACTGTGGACTATAACTGTGGGCACAGTCACGCAACGAAATACTCAAAAATTTATCTGCACGGAAAAAAACAATTCCGTTGGCGTAAACTTTAGTGTAAATTTTCTGTTGTCTTGACCATCAGACGCAGACTCGATTGTAGGAACAAAAAGATTCTTATAAGTTCTTGTTCATTCAATTGCTCTAAGTTATCTCAACTTAGAGTTTTAATGCAGCTGAATGTTCACACAAATGTTCTCAATCGCGGTAACAAAGATATCATTTCTTGTCATCGAACTTTCACTTGGTTTACTGTAGTTGCAGGAACTGAGATTTTTTTTCCGTGTAAGTTTCAGTTACATAGCATATGCAAAACTTTGTTGTGCTGCTTCGCATTCAAAAGTTGAAATTAGTTTAATAACAATAGATCTCGGTTTATATGTACGATATGTTGTTATTAAATTGATTAATGATCTTATACTTAGGCTTTCGCGGTGTGGAGAAATACTTAATTTAGTTTCCGAGTTAGCGCAACGTCCTTCGTGGATTTGTTTCCGACGCTTCGTGAATATAATTATAATCGGATAATTGGATATAATTGGAATTTAATTTATAGTTTTTATTATTTCTCTTTACTTTACTTTGTCTCTCAATGATAAAAGTATCGGTTAGCGTAGAGATCGCGTTCAGCATGCTCCGAAAACGGTACACATGACAGGGAACATGTCATTTCTTTGGTTAAAACAGTAGAAAATTTTCTGCCTGTTATCTCTTCGTTTTTTTTTTCTTCTTGAACACCAGAATCGTTAATTGACCAATAAAAAGTATAAGAATAAGTCAATTTAACCAGTTTAAGATAGCGTAGCGTTAATTCTAAAAATCTCATGCAGAAATTTCTGGACCGACGAAATCTGAGGAAATACGTTCGAGTTTTTTCTTATTTCCCTTGGAAAGAATTGGTTGAAAAGATTCAGTGGTGGGAAAAGGGCGTTCGAGATGGGAAGAAAATCGCCATATCTCTACCTGATTTGCTCGGACAAGCCGCTTCCTCGGAATAGGATGTTCCCCAACAAATGCGATAACAGATATTATCTTCTCAACAAATAACAGAAAACTGTGCACCATTGATAAGGTATCATTGGCATATTCGCTTATCACTTCTACGCCAATGCCAATTGCTACTACGTCAATGCAGAGCACCCCACGCTCTCCATATGACTATACCTTGCTTCTCTCTCTCTCCCTCTCTCGCTCTCTTTTCAACGGGCTGGCAACTGGGGATGGTCGCACTACTCCCATTGGCTGGCTCGTGCACAGACGCTGATGTGCTAGCAGTTTCAGTCTTGCTTGACTCGCCGTCGAGAGCGGATGTACGCACATCGAGGCTACCGAGGAGTGCATCGATTCGGCGCGCGCGTGCTTTCTCTCTCTCTCCCCCTTGCTCGTGTATCTCGCCTCTCCTCTCCCTACACACGCAGCTCTGGCTCTTCCGAAGAGCCACCATCCGCGGGAGCAACCACAGTCCGGTCGATGACTACTCTGTTACGCGCGCGGACACCAGCGGCGCAGCGCGACAGGACGAAAAGGACTGCTGCACTCGGCGAGCGCGGTGAACGGGAGCGAGCTCCGCGAACCGGGCACCACGACGGACACAACGGCGTCGAGTAGCGTATCGTCACTTGCTGCCGCTGCGGCCGTCTTCACGGCGAGCCAAGTGTGTGCGGGTACAACAGTGTGCAATAATTTCACTCCGATCCTCGCGACCGATATCTCGCGCCCTGTACGGCGCGAGCGGGGGCGCCCGCGCGCGCGAAAAGAGTCGCGGAAAGCGACGGCTTACCTCTGCCCAGCTGCGGAGCTCGAGCCGAGCGAACACGAGGAGCACCGTGCCAAGGCAGCCAAGTACGCCGAGTGGGATATGGATTGTTCCAAGACTCGTCGAACGTAAGTGAAGCCTCTCATGCGAATAAAAAAAAAAATCACCTGCTACTCGCGTATTGCCGATCGTTCGGATGTGATCCGGAGACGACACAGGCCTCCTCGTCGTCGTCGACTCGCTCGAGAGTGACAGGTCACAGGACGGGCAGGCAGGCAGCCGCTTGTGTTCGCCGAGCTCGTCCGGAAGGATCGCTTCTCGAAGAATTGTTCAGTGTGATGGCGTTTATGCAGTGCGTCGTCTGATTAATCGCCAGGCGCGAATATATCGTCGCACACTTGGTGTTCCCCGGCTCTCCGGGAGCCGTCATCGCGCTGCGGCTGCTCCGTGCCGATTGGTGCCGAAACGTCAAAGTAGCGCGGTGAAGAGGGGGCGGTCCGACCAAAGTGCGAAAAGGGGCTTTAATGATCCCTACGCGTCCTGTGCATCGCAAATGTGCCACGCATTGTGCTGATTCGACCGTTCGTCGCGTTTGTAGGAAAATATTACTCGGAGCATCAACATGTGCTCGAGGTCAGTGCTGCTTTTTTGTCCGGTTTACGTTAACCACGATCGCGTACGTGCGGAGTGAGCGTGTCCGATCGTCGCAGTGTTGTTCGGTTGTTCCGTCGAGATGATTCGGTAATTGTGAGTGCCTCCTCTCTCTCTCTCACACATACACACACATGCGCACGCACACGTAGATACACGTATGAGAACGCCAGTGTTCAGAAGAAGTTAATTCGTTTAGCTGCAGCTCGTCTGAACACGAATGTTCACAATGTCCGAAGGATCGTTATTTCGTACCGTGGAGAGGATGATGAGACCCTTTGAAAAGTTTCACGGGACTGGAAAAACCGTTATGTGGCTGGCGATGATGTTAATCAGACGGGCCTATTAATATCGATACATATGTCGGCTTCTCGCGGCTGTGTGCATCGCGTTCTCCCGAAACGATACGTCGATAAATTTCGTATATGTCGGCGAGCACGTATTGTCAGTTAAACTGGCAGTGTCGGTGAAGCGACGTCGATATAAACATCGCCGGCGAAATGTTTGTCGATGTTGCGAGTGTAACGCAATATTGTCCGCGCCGTATAAATTCACGCGCGTATCTGCAAAATGTGATTTCGTCGGTACGACTCGCTGTAATTTCACCTGGTAAAATCAATAGCGCGCCGGGGTCACGTCGGGCCCGATCTCGAATTCGCGCGACGAAGAATTCGCGAACGGGTACAGTCGTGGGCAGAAAGGTTGTTCCCCGGGCGTAGTGCTAATCGGAATTTCGAATAAGACGCATCATTTTTGAACACATTCGTGTATCATGACCGCTACTTTGGAGCATCCTTGCCGGTTCGCGGAATAATCAGCAGTCGTGACGCACGAATATTCAGAAATGTTGCTCCAAATTCGAAATTTCCGTTATCACTACGCCTACACAGTAGAAAACGTTTTGTTCTTGTGTTAAGATCGGTCTTTGGCCAAATTTTCGTGTGAAATTTTTCACACACCCGTGTGTTAATTTAACATATTGTGTTTATATTACCTCAACATTTTGAGTCGTATCGATATTCGATATATGGAAATGTTAATAATACGTAACACATTTTATTCAATGTCAATTAACGTATTAATTTTGTGTTACATTTTGACGCAATATTTGTGTTACTTTCAACATATTCACTTGGTGTTAAATTGACACCGTAAATTTGAGCGGACCGTTTGGGACCATGTGAAACGTGTTAAATTGAATGATCAAATGATCAAATTTTTTACCTAGGAAATGGAACAATCTTTCTGTCCACGACTATATCCCCGTTGTGTGTTCGCAAGTCAAAACAGCATTTAAACGGTCGCGATTACATCTCGATTTATGTACGCACTCTGAATCGAATGTTCGCTTTAAATTACATAGAATTACGGTTAGAATTATTCGCGAAATCGCGCGACTCTACTCTTGACACGCATCGAACACGCTGAACACGTTCTCCTGATTCTCAACCTAAGGCGACGTTATACGACGCGAAACGCTCTGTGTGAGAGAAACGAAACTTGAAATTAAAAGGGCGTAATCAGCGTATATTCGTGCGGAAAGAGTTCTCCGTGCTCGCGAATTCTGGATCTCGTCTGAAGAACGAGCCTCGCAGGCTACGCGAACATTCCGATATTTATATCGCGCGCGATCGATAACGTCAGAGCGCGCATTTCAATCTTTCCCTGCTTTTCTCACCTTGCTGACTTTATACTTCGGAGCGCGGCTCGAGCGTGGCTTCGCGCGGCTGCAAACAGGAATAAGAACGACGATTCCGGCCCATACGGCTTTTCCGACACACACACACACACACATATTCACACACATATAGACACGCTATACACATATACACTACGTTCCGTCAAATTCTCACCGAGGAGGCGCCTTCCCCTCGCAATTACCATACGTTCAGTTGGAACGCGGCTCGTGTCGTGGCGATAGATCGTGGGAATTGACAGAGGCGATGAGATCATCGCGAATTCGTGGCACTGCCAGTCGTTCTCGCGGATCTCCCGTCAGGTCGCGACTCGCGTTTTAATTCCTCGCAACGGCCGTGATTTCCACGAGTCTGAACTTCGATCGTCAAATATTCGGCGAACACGAGAAATATCGTTCTCACGAGAGCGCCACAACGCGAAGAATGGGCTGCGTTCAACGGAGAAAGAAGCCCAGTGAGCGCTTAGTAATTATCGTCTATGACTGGAGCGTCCTTTCAGATTCTTGGTAGACCCGGGGAAACTGTGAAACCGATCAGGAGTGATAAACGGGGAAAAATTTGTCTTAAATCGACGATAAGTGTTTTCATATACAAGCGATGGATGATTGAATTCGTATTGACGCGAGTATTACTTGCGTTCAGTTCAAGACTGAAAATCTAAGAATATTATGACACTCTTGCTCGTATGTGAGAATATCATTGATTTAAGACTACTTTCCTCTGTGTAATCATTAAGCGCTCACTGAGCTATTTTCTCCGCTGAACGCAGCCAATGTTTGCGCCTCCTTTTTCGCGACGTCGGAGCTCGCGAATATTCGAGTCTAAACGTTCGTATCGCCCGTGTGACGTCTCATCGGCGGTGAGTAAAACGCGTTACGCGCCCCTTATTCGCGTTGCCAAATTTCGCGAAGCCGCCGACGTCAATTTTGCCAGCACGGAGAGAGAAGCGCGTTGAATTTTGATCGGCGGTGAAAGGTTCTTTTTATTGAGCAACCGTGCCGCGACTCCGACGATATTAAAGAATCCTTTTCTCCGGCCTTGGGCGTCCCCGGGTCGCCGTGAATACCCCGTCGCGCGATGCGTAAAGCATAATACGGAGTAAAACATGACGAGGCGCGGAAGAGCGTAATTTTTCCCTCCGCGGAAGTCTTCGTTTTACAATGAAGCGTCGAACAATGACTGCGATACGATTTATCGGCGCACAGAGAATCCCAGAAAAGACCTCCCTCCTCCTCTCCATCTCCCTCTTTCCCCCCCACCCAGTTTCTCCACTCGGCGATCGCGTTTTGCGTTCTCCGCGTCGCTGCAGTTGATGACTCGACGTCTGGATTAAGCCTCTCGCGAATCGACATCTTCTTCTCCTCCTCTCGTTCGCGATTTTTTCATCGATTCCGCGTCGCTCCGTTCTCCCCCTGCAACGGAAACGTCACAAATGAACATCACGAGTGAAGACGCGTCTTGATGAGGGGGAGGTGTTTCTTTTCTCTTTTTACGGGAAGAAAAGGCATTCGTATGCGTTCGCATCGCTAAAGGTTACGACAATGCGCGGTAATTGAAATTTCAACACGTGCTGTCGTACGGCAAACCAGAGATGACGCGAGCCAGTCGAGCGCCAAGGCGCGTCGAGGCGAGTTGTGAATAGGCAGAACCTAAAATCACCGCGTTCACAATCGTAAGGAGTCAACATTTCCTATCGTCCGTGCGAGCGCGCTACGCCACGAGCGCGCGGATTATCCTGGCCGAGAGAGCCCAGGCAGAAGCGCGCAGGCAGGCCGGCCGGCCTTTCTCTCATTCATTATTCGTGCCGATTCCTTGCGTTTACCCGGAGTTATGACCACGGTTGCATAATGAGTCGTACGCCAACAATGTTGTCGCGTAATCAAATGGCGGGGACGTTTGTTCTGCCTGCGAACAGGGACGCGTATTGTTTCTCGCGGCGACACAACCCGTTGCCCGCAGAATCCAAGAATCGCACAATTCCGTCGCGGCACCAGCACCAGCACCGTTTGAATGCCCGAGATTTTTGGTTTCCGGGAAAATAACCGATGGCCGTGGGACAGACGGGAATCACAGGATTAATGTGAACGAGTCTGGTAACGAGCTGTCGCAGTTCGGAAATCACGTCATTGAAAATTCGAAGAAAACTAGATTCTATTCTGGGAAACGAATGCTTATTTATGAGTTTTCCGACTAAAAACGTTTATACGTGACGAGAAGAAAAGCAGAACTTGGAGGATGGATTGAAGAAAATTACCTGGTGTTCGCAATGACGCATCCAAGATAGGGATTAATTCGTCGCTCTTTTCGAGCTCTTATGTGTGGACCCATGACACAAAAACGTGAATAAATTGACTTTGCACAGTTGATTATTTTTGAACCGGTATGCGGTAAAAATGTTTGTGTTAAAGAGTGCGGCGAAATCCCGGCCAGATTTTTTCCGGACAAAAGTATCGAATTCAGCTTTGACCAGAGAAAATGGTCCACTTTCATTAGATGGCGCCATGTATTTCAACAAATAAAGGAAAGTGAAAGAAATGTATAAATTATCAGCGATTCGACGGTCGCTCATTGTTAACAGTACCTTCGATACGCATTGTTGGGTGTATTCAACAATGGCCTCAGTTTGCTTATTATGTAAAGGCACTTGCTTCGGACGGTATAGATAGCTCTCTGGAATGGTAGCTCCGTCCACCTTGGGACTTACATATTCGTAATCTACGTCATAAACTTTATTTTAAACTGAAGTTGCGTTCAAAACTTTTGTCTGGAAAAATTTCAGCGGAATATGCACTCGGCCGCTCTCTTCAACACGTTTCACCTGTCCCAAACGGTCCGCACAAATTTTTGTGCTAATTTAACGCAAGGCGAATAGAATGCTGAGAAATAACACAAATACTTT